AGACACACTACCTAGGGCAAGTCGGAACCACAAAGTGTCCTTTCAACAAGCCAAAGGTACACAAATTGGGCGAGCCGGCAGCTTCGCATTGCCAAAGCAGGCTTCGGGACGGGGAGGTAGCACGGGCTCCTCCCGCCCTTGGCGCGCGGTCTGTGCCTAGAGTCGAGGGACGGAGATTCCTCTGGCCCAGGACAGTCATAGCGGTGGTGCAGAGGGCGAGACCGGAAGGACCCGTCGTCCAACGCTCTCGGCCACGCCGCCCAGTTTTTGCGGAGACCGCCCCGCGGTGCGTGCAGGGGATGGGTTGGGAACCAGTTCAAGGCCGCCGCCGGGAGCCCACCACCCAACGCGTCCTAGCCGTCCCAGGCGCCCCGGGAGCGCGCAGCCGCGCAGCCGCGCAGCCCAAGAAGGTCGCCGGAAGTGAACGCACTACCTCCGGTTCCCAGCCCTGTGGGCCGCTCTAGCGCGCCCCACCTCGCTGGCATTCCCGCCGGCCTGCGTAGCTGGCTGCGGAGCCAGAGCCGCCTAGGCGCTCTGTGGCCGCGCAGAGGCTTTTGGGAGTCGTACGACGCACGGCCGGCTTTCACCCCCGGTGCTGGGCGGGTAGCACGCGGGCCTTTGCCGCCCTCCGTGGCCTCGGGTACCGATCCTCCCCATACCGCGGCGGCGGAGCCGGGGCTGGAGGGGACTTCGAAGTCTAGGGCAGCCTCACGGGGTTACGCTGGAACTTTCTTCTGCGTTCTGGGGAGCTAACGACTTGTACCTGCATTAGGAAATGGCTCGAGGTCACGCATTCACACTCCAAACCCACAATCCCGCCCGTCTTCAAAATTCTTCAAAACTGGTTGCCATCCAAAACCACTGGCGTGTAGAACAAGTTCACTTCACTGCCATCCTCAGAGAACAGCATTTATTAGATACCATACCGCACATAGGATAGACTTAATCACAGCCTAGTAAGAGCGTGCATTCTAGAAGAGTGATGAGAACACACCGAAATCGGTAAAATCAAAACATTAGACAGTACAACTGCACATAACAAACCTACTTCTGAGGTATCCAAACGAACTGGAGATTGCAGCATATTCTCGGGGTTATATATACATTTATGTTATATCCCCAGCCTCCCCAGGGTGTTAATGTAAGGAGGGATGTCTAAAAGTAAAAGACAAAAAACCTGTAGTCAGATGGGCATGAAAAGATGGGTAATGATCATCCTGACATTGAATCAATAGCTCTCTCAGTCTACAACTAAAGCAGATGAATATACATACTTCAAATGAAGATCAGTTATTTTTTTTAAATATTTTTTAAAGATTTTATTTATTTATTCATGAAAGACAGAGAGAGAGAGAGAGAGAGGCAGAGGGAGAAGCAGGCTCCCAAGGAGCAGGGAGCCCGATGCGGGACTCAATCCCAGGACCCTGGGATCATGACCTGAGCTGAAGGCAGACGCTTAACCATCTGAGCCACCCAGGCGCCCCAAAGATGTTATTTTTTTAACAGATGGTCAAAGCAAAAACACTTTACTACTGAAATCCTATAAAGATGAGTTCAATGAACTATTCAAAATAAACTAATTAGATAAACTATAATCTGCCTTGCACACATACTCAGTAAATTGGCAGATTACTTTGAGCAAACTCTGTGGTATCAGATTGTGTAAGACGCTGCAGTCATCAGAACAATGCCACTTGATTATATGGAATCTCAGAAGTCAAAGACTCAAAACACCATTTACTGTGAAATGTCACTTGTTTTCACTCCCTGTATACTGGGTTCGTCATTTTCTGTGTTAAATGGGGAGATGTGAATAGCCTATTAACTACTGCAACAAGGCTCTAAACAAAACTGAGTACAACTCCTTCCAGTATAACAACTAAATCCCACCCTTTCTTTAGTTATAAAATATAAACTGTTGACATCTGAAATCTACTGAAATAATGCTGTTTGTATCAATGATGGCTGTTAATACACCCTGATATTCGGGCAGTCACATTAAAGACTTGTTTGATACACATTTTCATCTATGTAGCAACAGAAACCACATTTGTTCAAAAGTCAATTTCTTTAGTACAAAGCTCTCACCCTGCATAGTATGTCAACATCCATGCTGCAAAAGGTAGTGAACCAACCATTCCTAACAATAAACTCCTGCGTTTCTCATCCCTATATTAACTTTTATCCAGTATTTGTTAATACTAACATAGCCGGCTAATCTCTCTCAGTTAATGACAAACTGTGAAATCTAGCTCCATCAGTCGACGCTGTAAATAGAAAGGTGAAAAAGCCATCATCATAAAAACAGCATGGATCTCATTGGTGGACTGACTCCTTCCTCCGACTTTTTGGGCTCAGAGCAGCTTGAATTACATCCAGTAAATGTACTTAGGTGCAAGCGCGCAATAAGGCAACAACTAAAATTATGCCTCTTTCACAGTAACTGACACTTGAAGTTGTTTCAGTTTTTTTCTGCATACCAGTCATTAACCCCAATGATTATTACACCAAAAAGGCATCTTACACTCATGTGTATGTTAATGTTTTTATAAAAGTGCTATTTTTCTAATCTCTTATGGAGGTTTGGCATAATCTTACAAAATCTGGAAAATAAAAATGTAAAACCTGAATTTAATTGTGAAGGAAGCCTCATCTGGGAAGGTGACTTCCCATACTGAGGTGCAGAACAGCATATATGGCATAAATTCTCACCTTCCCCCATACTGCCGTAGGAGCAAAGGAAAGCATGGCAGCTTCCATCTTTTAGGCCAGCCCCATTTTGTCCACATACCTTCTAAGATAGCCTTTCCTATTTTCTGCAGCAACTGTGCAAGTAGGGGCCTCTTTCCCAATTTCATTCCCTGCCCTACAACTCTGTTCAGGCACCGAAGGCAGAAGCAGGAGAGCTGTTGGATAGTGCTTTCTGGTATTTAGCAAGATTATTATATCCCAAAATTGGCTGATAAGAAATCTAGCTAGAGACCATTTTTCTACACAAGTCTAAGCTCCCCAGAGATTTGCTGAAGAACCACCTACAGATGACCTCACTTTTTAAGACCCTAAAGCCCTAGCAGACTGGTGTCTCATATTGAGTGGAGACATCAGAAACAGAGAGTCTAGTATGACCTTTGACATTCAGAGCACAGGGTCTCAACAGTGGATCTGCAAACAAGAAACAAGAACAAAAAGGGGGATAGGAGTGGGAGCTGGGTTGGAGTCTCCATTTCCCTTACCAGGAGTGTTTTCTTGCCTCTAAACAGTGTTAAAAGCTTACAGCAGTAGCCAGCATGTTTTTGTATATTCAGTTCCCAATTGGCTGTTCTGTAGAAAGACCACATCTTCCAGGTACTACTCTCCTAAAGAGGCTTATCATTGCTCACGAGGTTTCCCAGTGATAACCCCACTTTAATCAATGCTGTACTTCTGTACTATTTCAGTACAATTAAGACCATCCTCACATCCTGATCAAAAGTCCATTAAAAACTGGTCTTGCTGATAGGTACACAATCAATTTTGCTTTAAAGAGAAATTGTGTGATTTACAAGGTTCCCTGGTTCTTAAACATTAGTAACCATTCAACAACATTTTGCTCCCATATTTATATGTAACAGCAATATCTAAAGATCTATATATTGTCAAGTAGTTTGTTTAAACTCTAATAGTTTTCTGTATGTATTTTTCTTTGGCGATCAGGAGGAAATTTTTCTTAAACCAAAATCCAACTAAAACCATAAGGACTGGGGCGCCTGGGTGGCTCAGTTGGTTAAGCGACTGCCTTCGGCTCAGGTCATGATCCTGGAGTCCCGGAATCGAGTCCCGCATCGGGCTTCCTGCTCAGCAGGGAGTCTGCTTCTCCCTCTGACCCTCTTCCCTCTCGTGCTATCTCTCATTCTCTCTCTCTCAAATAAATAAATAAAATCTTTAAAAAAAAAAAAAACCATAAGGACTGTACTCTGTAGAGTTTGCAATCTCTGATCTGATCATAGGGATAGGAGTTTGAACTGGAAGTCCTGGGGAATCTTTCTGTTGCTTTATTACCATACACATTAAATCAGACTTGGGATAAAGCATAAAGGCAATGAAAGGGTTCTAGGATGTGTGTGCACAGGGTAGCCTCCATGATGATCCTCCTCACCCAACCATCTCAGCCTTCCTGGCTGCTTGCGGTCCTAACACATACGCCAACACATAACAGGGTTGAAGAATGCACAACCTTCAGCATCAGAGACACCCAAGGTTAATGCCAGCTTCAGCACATTGCTATTTTTGTCTTAGGCAAGATACTGACTTTACCTCTGGGGGCTTCAGTTTCCTTGTTTATGAAACAAGGATAGCCCTTCCTCTGTCAGATTTATCCTAAAGATTAAATTAGATAATACCCCTAAAACATCTAGCATGTTCACTAAACAAGAGTTACTATTATTCATAGAAAGGCAGGTAATGTACTTTGGTAGAGACTTAGAGGTAACTCCTTACAGAGAGGAGCAAGTATCTTTCCCTAGATCAAGTCCAGGTGCCAGAAAAGGCTACAGTCAGATTGCCAAAATTCCTTGCAAATGAGTCACAAAGGCCAGTGGCATCAGAAATATGAGAATGGAACTCCAAGGATACTAATAGCCATTATGACACCAACTTGTCCACCTATTTGGGAACTTTTCACACCAGGCATAAAAGCTCCTAAACCACATCAGAAATTCACATGTGAAATATCATCTCTTACAAAGTTACATTTAGTTATAACCCAAAAAAGTGTAAGACAGATAGAGACAGATTATTTTCCTAGATACTAGATCTGCAGAACTGGCAAGAAAGAAGAAAGAAAGAAAGAAAGAAAGAGAGAGAGAGAGAGAGAAAGAGAAAGAAAGAAAGAAAGAAAGAAAGAAAGAAAGAAAGAAAGAGAAAGAGAGAAAGAGAAAAAGGAAATTCTCCTTCTTCTAAAACTTACTTAGAAACCATGTAGCAAAATTAAAAGAACTTCTAGCCAAACTTTCATTTTAATGAAAACTGAATTTAAAGAAAAGTTCCATATCATTCTCTGGCTCATACAAATGCAATGTGAACAGTGACTGGGTTACTGAGTTAGAATCCTGGCTTCAATCACTAGCTGTGACATTATCCTTCCTCGGTTATAAAATGGAAATCATAGTGCCTAAAGCAAGGTTGTGGAGACTAAGTGCTATGTGACATGGAATGCATATAAAGTGCCTGGTACATAAAGGGTAACTGGTCCCCAGTTTGCAGTACAGATACTGAGAAGCACAGTGTCGTTAATGAAAACTTGCTGTATTTACATGGTTTTCATATGGGTTTGCTGATGAACAATGAGATGCATATTCAACCTGAAATTTTCCCCACACATGGTACATTTAAAAGTTTCCTCTCCTGTGTGGTTCTTCTGGTGGCATGCAAGCTCTGAGTCCAAAATAAAACTTTTTGCCCATGTTTTGCATTTATGGGGCTTTTCCCCTCTATGAATGCTCTGATGGGAAATAAGCTCAGAGACACGAAGGAAGGTCTTCGCACACTCAGGACATTTTAAAGGTTTAAATTTTGAGAACAAAAGCATATTTTCCCCATAGTCACTGCAGTGTTCAGAGTCATCTGCATGGCCCTGCTCGGGGAGGACAAGGTGTGAGGACTGCCCGAAGCACTTCACACACTGAGTGCACTGGTACTGGGTGGCTGACGTGTGCGTTCTTTCATGCAAAGCAAGATTTGTTTTCTGACCAAAATATTTACCGCAGTCAGTACATTCATAGGCTTTTTTGGCAGCGTGGGTTTTCTGATGCTGTGACAATCCCGGGAGCCACATAAAACCTCTCCCACATACGCCACATGTGTGGTGTTTCTCCTTTATGTGGATATTCATGTGCCGAGACAGATGTGAGTGCTGGCGGAAGCTACTGCCGCACTCAGCACACTTATAAGGCTTCTCGCCAGTATGGATCCTCCGGTGTGTCCTCAGGTTGGCTCTATGATTGAAAATCTTCCCACAGTCACCACATTTATACTTTTTCTCTCCAGAATGAGTTTTCTGATGCAAAACAAGGTATGAGTTATCACTGAAGCTTTCGTCACATTCAGGACACTTGTACAAATTTTTGGCTTCTTCCCCAGGAAATTCAAGAATTTCAGAAAGTGCTCTGGTTCCTAAATACTCAGACAGTTCTAGTAATGGAGTTTGGTTTTCAATGGTAACTAACAGGCTTATGAACCTTTTCTTGCAAGCAGGAGCTCCACCTGATACTTTCCTTTCTGGGTCTCCAACTCCAGTCTCAGATTTTTCTGGGTGATAGATAAGGGGCACAGTGATGGAGGAGTTTTCTGGGGCAAGTTCTTCAAATCCCGTAGACTCTAGATTTAACTGTTGAGAAATCTCAGTCTTGCCTTCCCCTCCTGTTGATAAAAACAAAACAAAGCAAAGCACAGATAACACCCTCAAGTGGTACTGGGGAAAGAACAAGCTAGTTACACAGGGACCAAGAATCTATAGAGGGCTTATCCTAAAACCCAAACACTCATACTATACAAAATCAGGCCAGCAGGCTCTAGTGACTTCCCAGAGGATCTAGTTGTTAGTGGTCCTGTGAGAGGAGGAAGCGGAAAAGACGTGTAACTACGTTAGGGTCCAGTAGGATAGGAACTAAGGGCAATCTTGGTAGATGCTGTCTACAGAAGGTTTCCAGTTAGTCTCCTGAGTTTCAATAACCTTTCATCATTGAAGGAATCTCAAGTGACCGCTGAACAACCACAAGTGGAATAGAGACTGGGATTCATATTTAAGAGAGAAAGAAAGAGAGCAAGTGAGTATTTTTCTACCTAGCAGAGAAACAATCTGGTTATTAGAAATAGTTTTATTGTCACCAGGAGAGTTCTTTAAAATTTATTTACCTCTCCTGGAGGAAAGATCAAGGTAGAGCTGCCATGCATACAGCAGCCAAATGATAACTGGTCTCACTGCTGGGATGGCTAATAAAACTTGGGCTGCCAAAAAACATTCTTTTTTAATATTTGTCCAAATATTCTTAATTTGTAAAGCCAACATATCAATATAAAAGGGGTCTTTCCTTCCAGAGAAACAGCCCTATGACTGCCCTTGCCCTAGCACACTGCCTAGAAAGGATTTCTGGGCTGCAGTGCAGTGTGGGAATCCAAATGATACCCAGTGATTTTGCTGTTTTGAAGAGACCAAATTCAGGGATGCCAAGATGGCTAGAATTTGACAACAAAATACTGGGGACAAGGCAGGTGCCCAGGCAGAGCTCTGGATATCTAGGTAGGGCCCCGTTAAGACTTGGGCTGAACATTAATCTGTAAGTGCACATGAAAAAACTACCCCAGACTGGGAAAAGAATCATCAAAAAGGAACACAGAGAAAAATCTTCAGGGTTCACATCATACATAGTTCAATAGTTCATGTTCCTGACAGCCAAGATGGAACACACAAGGTATCAGGCAGTATCCTCAGAAAGACATTGCTTTAGCAGCAGGTCAAAAGGGCCCTAGACTAAAGGCTGCTCTGAATACCCCCTAACAAAACAAAAAGCAAGCCTGAAAGGATCATACTGATCCCAAGTGACTTAAATGTAAAATCCAAAAATATTTAAAAAAATACAACAAAATGAACATCCAACAACATAAAACTCACAATGTCCAGCATCCAATCAAAAATTATCAGACATGTAAAGAAGCAGAAAAATATGACCCATAACTAGGAGCAAAATCAATGAAGAGAAGCAGACCCAGAAATGACACAGATGATGAAACTAGTAGCAACAATGTTAGAATAGCTAAAACTATACTTCTCATGTTCAACAAGGTAGAGGGAAACATGAACATGATGAAGAGAGAGGTGGAAAATATGAAACATGAGTTACAATATAGTTCCAAGAGTCAACCCTAGTCAGAGACAAACTCTACTCTACAGGCATGGGAACATTTCTGCATATAGTTCCCCTTATGTGAAAATGGCGTAGCACCCCACTTAAGAATAAATCAATTTCAAATCTTTAGTAGATGACAGTAACCTATACTCATGAGGTTTTGCAAGTAAAACTGTGAACTGACTTTAACAAATATTTGGGAAGATTACTGGATACTGCCATGTCTCATGCAAAACCACAGTCACTGTACTAGATAGGCTTTTTTTTTTGTCTTTAAGAAATGATCTCATCCTTCAAATACTGCACTGTCATGCAAGTTCTTGTCATATCCACATAGTCACCCAGAAAAAGGTCCCACGCCCCATACCAACATGTGAATGAGACATGAAATCCTGTTCCTCGAACTGACTAAAGTTCCAAAATGCAGGAAAAACAACTGCCTTACCCATCAAGGCCATATCCTCGAAACACTCCTGTGCAGTATCTCTGCTGAGGGACCTCTGGATAGGGTGCAGACTCACATACTCCTCTTGAGAAAAATACACAGCCAGATCCTCAAACAGCATTGGCCCCTGAAACAACATGAGAGCCCATCTCAGGAAAAGAGGCCCCAAGGCCACCCCCTCACTCGGTTTAGGAAGACTGAGAAGAGCTAGAAACATCAGAACCAAGGGAGGAAGGGGCTTGGTGTAAAAGGTTCCTGAATGCTGGGGATGGTGTATAAATGGGTTCTAAGGGTGGTGGCGGAAACTGGGAAGGACATAATTTCTGAGACAGTGGTATAAGGGCCAAGACAGTAAACTGTAAGAAGTTCTAGAAGAGACTTCTAGGAAAGATAAGGGAACTCTCAGGGAGGGAAACCATTACATACAGATGCTCTAAGAGAAAAAAAACTGAGCAGCCCAGAAAGAATCATGAAAAGGGACAGTGGTTCCAGTGTTCTCCCAACATCCTTCTGCTTGCTAGTCTCTCTCCTCCTTGCACATGACACTCAACTGCTAAGCTCTCTTTAGAATCATATCCAGGCCTAGTCCTCCTTCCTTTAGTTTACCAGTCTTATAAACCAACAGAACCTCGACGTGATTAAGAATCACCTGGGGTTTTTGTTCCTGTGTTTATTCAAAATGTGTGGGATGTGCCTAGAAATCTGCAAGTTTGAGCAGCATTCCAGAAAACCACTTTGAGGTACTCTGATAGCCTTTTCCAATGGGCCCTGCTCCCAGCTGGTGGTTCTGAAAGGAAGAATGTGATAGCCATTTCTCCGAAGTGCCTGGTCCGGGGAAGACCACTTGATCAAAGGGCTATTTGGGGATTGGGAGCCCTCCCACGGAGATGGGCATTCCTAACCCTCTTCCAAAGGAAGGCAGGCAGAGGCCGGAAAGTAGCGACAGGAACTGGGACCCCGAGAAGGGACCTGATCTTACCTGGGCCCCGGTTGTTGGAAGCATGGACGTCATCTCAAGGGGTGGGAGTGCCTTCCTCAAGTGGCCACACTGACTTCAAGACAGATCTAGGAGGGGAGAGAATAATCCTCAAGAGGGGCCAATTTGGCTGCAAAGCCCCTCCACAGACTCCCAAGGCTTCCTCGCTTTCCCAACCCCTTTAAAACCTGAGCCGGGGGCGCCTGGGTGGCTCAGTCGCTAAGCGTCTGCCTTCGGCTCAGGTCATGATCCCAGAGTCCTGGGATCGAATCCCGCGTCAGGCTCCCTGCTCAGGGGGAAGCCTGCTTCTCCCTCTCCCACTCCCCCTGTTTATGTTCCCTCTCTCACTATCTCTCTCTCTGTCAAATAAATAAATAAAATCTTATATAAATAAATAAATAAAACCTGACCCGAAGGCTCCTCTCCGCAGCCCAGCCTCGGAGGGGCCAACTCTTCGGCCGGCCAGGTCCCACCTACCGCTCCGAGATTAGTGATGTTAGAAAGTCTCCCGCTACCAGGACAGAAGGAGCAGAGGGCGACGCCCGAGGGACACTCTAGACCGAGAGCCACAGCCACTGCGAAGCTCCCGCACTCCTCTACGCAGGAGCTGCCGGGAAAGCCCCCGGAAACGGCCCGCCTCCTGCTCTCATGAAACTGTGCCCTGTGATTGGCCAGCGATACTCCGGAGGGGGCAGTCCTTCTCGTGTGTTGACCAATCGAGTCCGTTAACAGAGGACAGAAAACTCGCTGGGCAGGCTGGGAGTTGTAGTTTTCCTTCTGTCTCTCGAAGTAAGTATTTCCGGTTCCGCTGCCTGGGTCTCCAGGGTGAGCTCCTGCCGGCTTACCTGCAGGCAGGTAAGTGAATAGGTCGGGTGTGAAGAGGTAGGGTGACCCCGGAGCGACGTAATGTTTCAGGGAAGAAGGAAAGTAAGAAGACAGGGAGATTTCGAACCCGAAGGACTATTGGCACCGAAATGTGGGTTTGAGCGGCAGTGCCCCGTGGCCCCAAAACGTGGGTCCGGCCAGGGTGAGGTGAGTGGCCAGGAGTGCAAGTCCTAGTCTTGGCCTGAGCAGTCAAGTCTGCTGTGTTTTGGGTGGACTGTGGGGCCGTGGAGTGAAAAGGGGTGCCTTCTGCGTGGACAGAATTCAGATTGGCTTCGATCAGGTTGCTAGTCCATGACCCAGTGCATTCTAGGGGCGTTGTGCCCCGCGACTGCAGCGGAGCTGAGCCAAAATCAGGCTCAGAGACAGAGGAATCTCAAGCGGGAGTAAAGCCATTGGCTTGCTTTGCGAGACGCCGTATGCCTCCTAATACCTCACATTCGACCTGTCCCATTGCCACATATTCTACACTTCGCTGACACCGGATTCGGTGGTGTAGGGATTTGGAATTTAAAATTGAGCTCGTTCTCAAGCTTTGCCACTGATTGCTTGGTTTATCTTGGCCAATATACAACTTTGCTTTCCTCAGCTGCAAAGAGTTCCAAATGCTTCTCCTCAGAGGGTAGTTTCAAATAAGTTGTCAGTTTATAAAGGTGTCAATTTACAAAGGTGAAAAAGCAAGAATGATAGGTACCTTAATAGAAAATACTGGGTAAGTCTCAATATATTTTCTTATTCTAGTACCAGACACGTGCGTGTATCTAAAAGGTTACTCAAGAAATTGTTGTATGGTTATTGAAACAATATTATCAGAACTGACAAAATAAGTAGTGGGAACCGGTGGAATATCAGACAGGACAGTTTCAGTTGCAAGTAACAGAAAACCCAACAAAACTATATTCAAAAGTAGGGCAGATACAGATTGGTTAATTCAGTGGCTCAGTGACACCATCAAGGTCTTAATGCTTCTATTTTTCTCCTCTGCCATCCTTAGCATGTTGGTGAAAGTGACAATGGAATCTACATAATACATGCAGACGTGCATTGTGCCAGATACCCATCCTAAACCAATCATTATCAAGCGTAAAAAGACTATACCTACCATAATTGGTTTTGACCAGCCATGGTTCACTCCCTAGCACTGGGGGAAGGACCCAGCCTCCCCTGGCCAACTACCTGCACAAAATCAGGGCTCTGTTAGAAAAGAAAAAGAAGGAAGTAGAACAGATATCAAATAGGTAACTAAGAGCATCTGCCACAAGTGACATCTGTTGACAACAAAGATCTTCTTTGGCTTCTTCAACAAAGCCCCCTTTTTTTTTTTTAGATTTTATTTATTTATTTGACAGAGCGAGACAGTGAGAGAGGGAACACAAGCAGGGGGAGTGAGAGAAGCAGGCTTCCCGCTGAGCAGGGAGCCCAATGCGGGGCTCGATCCCAGGACCCTGGGATCATGACCCGAGCTGAAGGCAGACACTCAACGACTGAGCCACCCAGGCGCCCCAGAGCTAGGCCTTCTGACAATGGGTCACAAAAGAAGTGCGCTAGGGGGAGGAGAAGGGTGGTGAAAGGACAGGTGGAAGAATGATAAGGAAAAATTTCCCCACAGGCTAGACCAATCCAAAGCATAAATGTTGAAGAAGAGCTAACAGCCTGGTACGTGGAGGTCTAAACTGAAAGCACGTTCATTATCGAATCATGGTAGTGCTTAAGTAGTCATATTCCTCCCCCCCTTCCTTTGTGCTTATATTTAATGCCATTCTTCTGTCAAGGATATCTCGTTTAGGGCTCAGATTCTCCTGATTCTGATTTTTGGCCCCTTCACCAAGAACAGGAGGCTCTTGTGGCCTTTTCCTTTGAACTTTGGTCTCATAACAAAGAAATAAACACAGTTTCCAATGACCAGAAGTGAAGCTTGTGGTATTAACTCAATGGATAACCAGAGAGAAAGAGTTATCTTTGAAATGGGAGAAGAAACTAAATCTTCCCGAGACCCTCTACCAAAACTGAGCAGAGTAGATCAAGAAGGGAGCTTGAAAGATTGATCTTGCTTAAAGAGATGAGGTACAAAGTCTAAGACCAAGATTGAAAGAATAAGACTGAAATATATGCCTAACTTTGTTTTTTAAAAATCAGAGATGCTTGACTATATATCCATTATATGTTCAAGTAACAGATTTTTTTTTTTTTAAGATTTTATTTATGAGAGAGAGAAAAAGAGAGTGGGGAGAGGAGCTGAGGGAGAGGGACAAGGAGATTCCACACTGAGTGCAGAGCCAGATGCGGGGCTCAGTCTCCAAAACCAAGAGTCCGACACTTAACCAACTAAGCCACCCAGGTGCCCCTCAAATAACAGATTTTAATATTCAAAACTCACAAATCCTGGGGTGCACAGAGACTGGTTAAGATTCTCTCCCTCTGCCCCTCCTCCCTGCCCCTCCTCTCGCTCACATACTCTCTAAAAAAAAAAAGCAAAACTCAAAAATCCTTTTGCCACAGCCTTCTGACAATGTCTTCATTTCAGCCTTTAACGTATCAATAATAATCTGTATGTATTAAAATTCTTTCTGTGGCCAAAGATCTGCGGTTTCTCTGAAGATCAGATTATCTTTTTAAAAATTAGAAATAACTTTTTATAGGGGCGTCTGGGTGGCTCAGTCAATTAAGCATTCAGCTCAGGTCATGATCCCAGGGTCCTGGGATCAAGCCCCAAGTTGGGGCTCCCTGCTTGGCAGGAGGTCTACTTCTCCCTATCTCTCTGCCCATCGCCCCCCTCATGCTCTCTCACTATCTCTCAGTCTCAAATAAATAAATGAAATCTTTTAAAAAAAATAGCTTTTTATTATTAGAAAAGCAGTATGTATGCATTTTAGAAAGTTAGAAAATACAGATAAGAAAAAAATAGAAAATAAAAGCACTACATTCTTATCATTCAGAGATTACCAATGTTCCCTTTTAAGTATAGATATTTTCCCTGGTAATTTTAAACATAATTTCCAGAACAAATTGCTCTCTAAGTTTGGCGTTTTAAACATTCCCAGACAGTTCTGTTTTTCAGGGTCCGTTACTTAAAAATAAGTATGTCTCTGGTTCTTACAGCTTTTGTATCCTTCGTGAGATGTGAATACCAATGAGAAATTGGCAGGGCCATATCAGGATGTACCAGAAGAGTATAGATAAGCATGATTAGCTTTTTCTCCCAACTTCAGCAAGAGGCTTTTCTCGCAGGAATCCAGAATGCCTGACTGGGCAGTTAGGAACCCTGGCTCACTAGTATCCAGTCTCTAATGAAGGGAATGATGGTTACTGGTCACGCCTGCAGGACTTACTGTCACAGCAAAAGGCTCTCACGACTTTGAAGCTAGGATTACCTCTAGCTGGGCAGGAATCCCTTCATCAGAAAGAGACTCAAAAGGGCGCCTGGGTGGCTCAGTTGGTTAAGCGACTGCCTTCGGCTCAGGTCATGATCCTGGAGTCCCGGGATCGAGTCCCACATCAGGCTCCCTGCACAGCAGGGAGTCTGCTTCTCCCTCTGATGCTCCCCCCTCTCATGTGCTCTCTCTCTCTCTCTCTCATTCTCACTCTCTCAAATAAATAAATAAAATCTTTAAAAAAAAAGAGAGACTCAAGAAAGAGAGAGAGAGAGAGGAAGGGAGGGAGGAGGAAAGAAAAGAAAGAGAAGGAGGAAGGAAGGAGGGAGGGGGCAAAGGGCTCTAAATTGTGCCTCCAATACATTAATCCTATGACCAGAAAGTGGTTTTGCTCTGTGTTGACTCTAACAAAATTCTTTCTCAGTCACTGAGGCTAGAAATGCTTCCAAAGGAAGATTCTGGACCTACTGATACTGACTGATTCTTGCAAATAGAAACTATAAGCAGAGATTTCTGGAGGATGATAAGATCTACAGAGCATACAGGTTGGGCACAGTGAGATTGGAGAAGGAACAATGGGTTGGAGAGCAGACGAGAAGACAACATGCTTAGACAATTAATTTCTCCCCAAAGGATCCTTCGGATTGAGCTTTCTGAGATCACGGGTTTAACTGTCTGAGACACTTGGCCCAGGAGTGAACAGAAACAGCATGGCATGGCCTCTTTCTCCCCTGCAGCGGACGGAAAGGCCGTACCTGGAGGAGAGAGGCATGGAGCCGCTGGAGTTGGGAGAAGAGTTGCAGAGAGTGAGTCAAAGGCTGCTGTGTCCTGCTGTGGATGATGTGCTCACAGTCAGAGGAAACCTACTTGAATGAAACCCATTTTATTAGTCAATATTTTTAGAAGATTTTTAACAATTTATTTGAGAGAGAGAGCGTGCACAAGCAGGGGGCAGGTGGGAGAGGGAGAAGCAGGCTCCCCGTTGAGCAGTGAGCCAGATAACATGGGGCTCAATCCCAGGACCCTGGGATCATGACCTGAGCCCAAGGCAGACACTTAACCAGATGAGCCACCCAGGCGCCCTATAAGGAGTTTTTAAATAATATGGGGAAATACTAACATTAAAAATTTTTAAGGGATACAAAACTGTATGCAAAATACTATCATTATTAAAAATGTACTGAAGAGGGGCACCTGGGGGGCTCAGTCATTAAGCATCTGTCTTGGGCTCAGGTTATAGTCCCAGGGTCCTGGGATGGAGCCCCGCATCGGACTCCTTGCTCAGCAGGGAGCCTGCTTCTCCCTCTGCCACTCCCCCGCTTGTGTTCCCTCTCTCACTATGTCTCTCTCTG